CTTACAGCTAAGAGTCTGCCTTAGGACTTTGGCAACTCTTGAGAGAAAAATTAAATGCATTTTACGTAAAGTCTATACATGTGTCTTCTGAGGATTAGAGGTGGAATGTTATGGTTTATAGCTCAATGTCCTCCAGAGACTCATGAACTCATAGGTGGGGATTTTTGGGACGTGACTGGATTACAGGAGTTTATAGCTGATTTGCTATTAGGTGGGGAAGAGGCAGTCACTGGGGATGTGGCCTGAAAGTGTTTATTTTCCTTCCCAGCTCCTTCTTTCACTTTCTGCTTTTTGTATATCACGGCACGCGCAGCTCTTCTTTGCCAGACTCTTCCACTATGCTGCTTCTGCCTGCAGCTGACTGACTATGCAAAGATTGAAACTTCTAAAATGTTAGCCAAAACTGGGCATAGTGGCACGAGCCTAGAGTCCCAGCATTTGCGGGCTGAGGTGGAGGACTGCCATGAGTTCAAGGCCAGCCCGGACTATATAGTGAATTCAAGGTCAGTCTGAACTACATAGTAAGACACTGTGCCAAAAAAACAAAACAAAACAAAAAAAAACCAACCAAAATGTGAGCCAAAAGAAACCTCTCTCCTTGAAATTTCGGGTGTCGGGTATTATATCCCAGCAATGGAAAAAGTGACTAAGACAGTACTAATACCATTTCAGTATTCAGCAGGTTAAAGTTTCAAAGCCTTAGAACTTTGGTCCCAGAGGTCATTTAATTAAACCTTCTGTCCAGGGTATCTGCTACTCTCTGACAAGGAATCCTGCTGGGTTTCCTCAGCTTCCTCCTGCTGAGCAACTCCTACCATTTTGAAGCACATCTCTGGAATACCAGAAAGTTCTGACAAATCATGTTAGGGAAAAACTTCCTGAGTCCATTCATCTTTCATCTGCTAGTTATAGTTCTGTTTCTAGGATCTTCCAACCTGTTTGAAAACTGAAGCCAGGCTCCTAAGAGCCCTTTCTTTTCCCAACAAAATCGCCCTAGATTTTACAATTGTTCCTCCAGGCTAAGGTTTCATATCCCAATTGCTCTGCTCTCTTCTTTCCAGATCCTGGTTTAGCTACATCTCTTTTCAAGTGTGCTGTCAGGAAACATTACCTGGGCTCTCCTGGCAATCTGATGACTGTGGTCACTTCTATCATACTTGACACTTTTTCTTGCAGTCTAAGCTTGCATAAACCTTTCTGACAGCATCAGCTTTTGGGACTGTCTTGGCACAGGCAGTGTGCTGCTTCTCTGCTAGACCAAAAACTAAAGATGCAGTAGTCTGGCAGGACCTGGGCATCTCTAAAGAAAATAGGCTGGAGGCTGCGAAGGAAGAGAGGACAAAGACAGAGATGTGGAGCTTCAAGGGCAGCGTGGCTAGATGGACGGTTGGGAAGGAAAGGCTTGGCATTGAGAGATAATATTTTTTTGAGATTGGAACTCTGACATCTCAATAAAAAGATGAGAGATTTGAGCCTTTCTTTGTGACTCCTTTTAAGCTGTTCAAAGGAAAAATCAACTTGGAGCTGGAATGTAATATGAATAGCTTTAACCCCTCCTATCTTTTTTTTTTTTCTGGTACCAGGGATCGAACTCACGACCTTGCACTTGCCGGGCAGGCGCTGTGCCGCTGAGCTAAACCTCCAGCCCCGAACCCCTAGTATTTTGCAGTAGAAACATATTTAAATATATATAAGTGTATGTTTTAAATGATGACATTGGAAGATAATCAGCTCCTATATTGGGCCCTATGTACTTAGCTGCACAATGTAAGAAAGATTTTGAGAAAATGAAAGATTTTTGGGAAAATACAGATTGCTCTGTTTTGTTAAAATAACGTGGTAGCCAGTCTCCAAGATAATTCTTACCTTCTGATAAGAATATATCCTTGAAGCTGATGTGGAAATGATGGAATGCTCTATGATCTGAATATTTGTATGTTCAGATTTAGTATGTTGAAATTTTAACTTTGAAAGTGATGATATTAAGAGGTGGGACCTTTGGGAAGTTAAGCCATGAAAGGGATCATTCTGTTGGTGCATCAATTTTAGGCTTACCTCCAGCAAAAAATCTCATTTATAAATTAGCTACTTACTTATAAATTAGCTACTTATGGCAACTCAAAGGGACTGAGACACAGTGTTACTTCTGCAAGCAGGTCATGAAAGATACTGAGGTTCTGCCTTGCCCTCTTAGGTTATTTTTTCCATCACCACATCATGAAGGCACTCGAGGCACTCAACGAGCCCTATAGGAAGGTCTTTGTGGTGAGAAACTGAGACCTCCTGCCAACAGTCAGCTTTGGCTTACCAGCCATGTGAATGAGCCATCTTGAAAAGGCCTTCCGTGTTGGTAGCCTCAGTTAAGTCTTCAGCTGTCTGCAGCCCTGGTAGACAGCTTGACATCAAGGTTATAAGACCCTGAGCCAGAACCAGCCAATCAAGCTGCTCCTGTATTCCTGGCCCACAGAAACTGCGAGGTATTTATTGTTGTTTAAGTTACTAAGCTACTGTTTTAAGCTCCTAACTTTGAGAAACAAGAAATAAATACCACAGACGTTTAGGAAGGAGGAATGAAAATAGTACAGGCCTTTCATACTAGGCCTGGACCTGTCTTAGCTCCTAAGAGCAGAATCGGTGCTATGTTCACACCTGCTTTTGGACATCCCTGACAACCAAAGAGCATTGTCATAGAGGATTTCAGAAGAGTAAGACTCCTCCTTTTTGTTTTTAGGATAGGATAGGATAGGATAGGATAGGATAGGAGAGGGAGAACACTGAGAATTTGCATAAATTTTTTAGTTCCCAGTGGCCCCTGGGAGAGGTTCTCTGTCTTTTGTCTGTGCTATGGCACTTCCAAACCTTGAGAGCAGAGCTTCGATCTTATTCTATTCCCACTGCCTAATCATACACAAATGAGTGATATCAGTGGGAGGACAAACACCCCTCTCTCTTTGAATTTTAAAGAAATTCTACTCATAAATGAAGCCTCGGTAACACCATGCACCTCGTTTTCACTGTTAAATAACCCACATCTCTCTATTAAGTTTGCTGCTTTAAGGAACTTGTCCTCTTTTGACCCTTTCATCTCAATTCCTCTGCGCAATGTTGATTTAACTGTTGCTCGATTCCAGCACGCTTGATCCAGCAAAGCAGAGAGATCTGCTGGTAGCATACCAACATATATTATAAAGTTGTCCAAAATCATAGTGGGCTGAAGTTAGGAGATCCAGGAGACCAAATTTTGGGCAACAGTCATTGATTAGTCAATATGGCCTTGGGCCATATTGTTGCTTTCCCTTTCTGGACCTGTGGATCTCCCTGACCTCTAAAGTCATCCAGGTTCTCACAAGTTAGGATTCCACGGTGCAATGCAGAAGTGAAACACGGTGGTCAGTGTACCTCTGGGGTGCTGTCAGCTTCCAGTGCGAAGCTTCTTTTATTGGGCCAAGGACACAGCCTCAGTGAAAGGCTGTCAGGTTGATCAGAAAGAATCTTTCCGTTTCGAAAGACGGTTTCCATTTGGTCACTAACTCTAGATAACCTTGGACAAACTTTTCTCCTGGACCTCGGCGGGAAAGGGAGATCCTTATTACCTAGAAGTAGCTCGAAGACCCTGGAGAGCTTTCTGAGATTGCTTTCTACAGCCTGGGAGGTTCGGCCCCAGAGCAGTCCCTATCCACTAGTAGTTCCGCTCAGAGATGCAGGCAGGAAACGTAACCAGCCGCGCTCAGCTCTGGAGGAGGTGGCAACAGGTGAGCTCTTAAAGGGGCCGCCAGAACTTGGGTAACACCCGAGAGGATGGCTGATAGGGGATGCAGGTGTGGTGGAACGAACGCAACAGCGAATGAATGAAGGAACCTTCTTTCCCCGCCCTTAAACGCACTCCTACTTGCAGTTAGTAATTTAGACTTTAAAACCCTCTACTGAAACCTTCATATCTTTAAAAAATCCAGTTAACTAGTCTCCCCGTTTACTGCCCTTCTTTCACGCAACTTCTTACACCTTTTACTAAGAGGCAAACGGTAACTTTAAAAAAATCAGTAAAGTGGAAGGCAATGTGGAGATCCCCCCTTCCCGAGCTCCCTGCCCTCCTCGCCCCTGACGTGGGTGGCTCCGTCAGCGCAAGTCTGCTTTCCCCACTGGGGAGCCTCCCCGGGGGCGCCAGGAGCTCCTCCAGTGTTGGAGTAGGAAACGGCACATGGTAGGTGGGGTTAGTGGAGTCCTGGATCTAGTATGAGTGGTCCCGCCTCTCTTTATACTCTTCGGTGTCCCCGGATCGCCGCTAGCTCAGACCTGCAGGACATCCAGGTGGGCGCTGGGCTCGCGGGTGGCAAAGGCACGCTGTCCCGGAGCAACCCCTGACCACCTGTAGAGTCGGCGTGTCAGCTGCCTCGTCCTCAGTGCCGCTTCAGTGCCAGCTGCTTTAGACAAGGTGCTTCTCTCCACACACTCTCAGGGTACTCCTGCCCGCTCCCCAGCCCCCTCCCGAGCTTCCTACCCTTTGCAATCCCGGGGTAGCAGCTCCAAGAGCCCGGGGCTCGGCGCGAGCCGCCTCCTCACTTCCCATTGGCTGAGAGCGCGGGGAGGGCGGTCACGTGGGCGCGCGGCAGGCCAGCTCCGGGGACGCCATCTTGGCGGAAAGTTTGGGGGGAGAGCGGCCGGGGGTGCGGAAGGAGGCGAGGTTCCGGGGGGTGGGGCGGCCCGGAGGCGAGAGGGCGAGTGGGGCTACGGGCCGCGGTGACCTAGGAGACCGCGGCGGCAGCCGGGGAGGAGGAAGAGGCAGCGGGGGTGCGGCCGCCGCGAGGAGCTCCTCCCCCGTCCCCTCACCCCGTCGACGGCGCTGCTCGGCCCGGGGCGGGGCGGGGGTACGTGGAGCCGGGCCGGACGCGGGAGCTGCTCGGACTCCGGCCGTAGCGCACCCCGCCGCCTGCTCCCGCCACCCGCGGGAACTTTGTGGCCGCGCCGCAGGTGTGGGGGCCGGAGGAGGTGTGCATGTGGGGCGCGAGGGCGCCGCGGAGAACGGCCGCGGTCCTGTCCGGTCCCTGCCGGAGTGGCCCGGAGGAGGACGGCGAGGAGCAAGGCAAGCGAGGGGAGCGAGCGGGCGGGGCGGGGCTGGGGGCCCGCGCGGCTGAGACCCTCCTTGAGCGCTTTGGTTGCAGAGACTGGGTTGGGGCGCCAGCCATCTACCCGCCACCCAAAGCAGGTGGGGAGACTGGGTACTTAGGCCGGTGCGGCGGGGTGTGGAGGATCTCTTCCAGGCTCCTAGTGCTCTTTGGGGAGGGGGACGCTTTGGAGGAGAATTTGGAAGCGGACTTGTGCCTGCTCCAGATCGGCTAGGCTGCTCACTCCGAGGAAGCAGCTTTTTGTGTATTGACACTGTTGGGCTTTGAAGCCCTTCCTTTCACTTAGGAAAACTTTGGAAGGTGGGCTTTTCTTCAACTAGGGCTGTGAGTTTTCTGGGTGGAGATGTAAGGGAATCGTACTTTAGTCACGATTCGATTTTAGTTCTTTTTTTCTTTTCTGTTTGTTTATTTAAAGGTGTGTGAAACTCTTCCTGATTTCTGGAGAAAAATGCCGGTCCGGAAGCAAGGTGAAAATTTATTTCAGAACTCACGTAAATGTTGCTTTCTTTTCCATTGTATGTCAGTTTTGTGATGTTTTTTAAAACGTTTGTGAAACTTTGATGAGATAGCTGGGTCCTGCCTTTACTGCTTAGGACATCTAAGCCTCACAGCCCTTGAGAAGACGGAAACACTCAAATTTGTGTTAAACTTACTTTCATGATGACATCTCTCCAGTGATTAGAGAAAGTCCCCTCTCCCATGTCTTTTAAAAAACTGAATCGGTGTATTAGTATTTCACTTTGTCATTTTTATTAAACACTTACCAGCAGCTTGGGTACTAAGAACTAATGTTGGATTACAAAATAGTGTAGATAATTTGGTTTTGCCTATCAGATAATCTGAAACTAGGTTGCTAATACTTGGATCAAATGGGTTTTTTTTTTTAACTGTTGTAAACTCCCAGTCCACATTTATTACAAACTGGTTATCTGCCTCCTTTTTCTACAGTAATATATTTTCAAGTTTTTCTTGGTCCTTCTAGGGAATATGTGTACTGACCATAGTGACAGCATTTGACCTGGAGGATTTGGGAACTGTTTAGATGTCTCGCAAAGTCATTTGCAGTAACATATAATACTTTGTTGTAAATGTACACACTTTTCACTAGAGTCTTCTTTTCTTCTAGATACCCAGAGAGCGTTGCACCTTTTGGAAGAGTATCGTTCTAAACTAAGTCAAACTGAAGATAGACAGCTCAGAAGTTCCATAGAACGGGTTATTAACATATTTCAGAGCAACCTCTTTCAGGCTTTAATAGGTGAGAATTAAAACTTCATTTGTGATCAGTTGTGTTGGGTAGACGTAATGCTTGTCTGAATTCAGTTATTTTAAACTTGAGGATGTGCTTGGTTCTCTGTGAGGTACTCAGTAATTTGAACATCCTCAGTGAATTGTATGTTTTTTATAGTTTGGTCAGTATCCTTTCTAAAATATCAAAAAAACCGAAAACAAAACCTTTCAGTACGATTATTTTGGTGGTCTTTGAGAACACTTTCATATCCTAAAATTACTATTCCTAGTGTCCTAGATTTATTGTTAAAATACAGGAAAGTTGTAGAAATGTTTCAGGACCCAAAGGTGATGACTGATTTAGTGCCAGCTTGTTTCTGTGGTGGACTTGTATTTCTTTAGAGTCCTTGAAAATGTTTGAAGGGCTCACCTGTGTTTAAGGACATTCATTCATTCCCTTCATATGGACAGACCTCTGTTAAATGTGCCATTTGTAAAGTCAGAATTTCAGACTCAGAAAATGATTTGAGAGGTGATCTTGTCTGATAAATTTATTTTACATATAAGAAAGTTGAAGCAATTTATTCTTAACTGTAACTTAAATTTAAGGTGGTGTATTGCTGTAAAAGAGAACTGGATGTCAATTCTAGATGGTACCAGTAATCGAATAGTATTATACAAGTCATTTAGCACTTTTAGGCCATTGTTTTACCTTTAGAATGTAGATAGTAAAATGAAACAATGGATTATTAAGGCTTTTTCTTTTAAAGGCAGCTACAACTTTTTAAAAAAGAAAATGTATTTTGTATACAATCCCTGATATGTGAAACAAGTGATCTGTCCTGGTCTTTTTCTTCATGTACCTTGAAAAGTTTGCAGGCTACTGAACTAGAAAATGTTCCTTCCAGTTTTAAGAATGAAATTTTAAATAATCATTATACAACTTTTAAAAACAAAAAGATATAGTTCATTGCTTTATTTCTTTAGTAACTTCCAAGCAGCTATGCCTTATTTGTGTCTATTGTTAATTAGTGTGATTTCAAGACTAAAGTTATTGTACCTTGTCAAGTAACTTGCTGATAAATTGATGCTTTCTGTTGAATTTGTTTTAGAATTAGAGATTTTTAAGAAGACCACTTGATACACTGCAAAAACTTTAAACTTAACATTAATATGGACTTTAAAATATTTTTTATTAGTACATGTTTGCAGTACATAATGTTTACATTCCTTGAGTGGAATTAATGAGTCCATAGTATATACTATCCAAGATTACCTGTTTTTTTCCTTTAGTAGGTGGCACTCAGTGTTCTGAGGTAGTGCCTATGTGCTGTTTTTCGTTTGTTTGTTTGTTTGGTTTGGTTTTTTTCCAGTACCGGGAATCGAACTCACGACCATGTGCTTGCCAGGCAGGTGCTGTGCTGCTGAGCTAAATCACCAGCACCCTGCCCCCCATGTGCTGTTGGATTGAAAGGATAGGTCCTGACCACCTGAGTTATTTAGAAAATCATTTGGTGTTTAGGTTGTTTTATTTTGCTTTTGAAACAGGATCTAGTTCAATAATTCAAGCTGGTCTTGAACTCACTGTGTAACCTAGGCTGACCTTGAAATCGTGACAATCTTCCTGCCCCAGCCTCCCGAGTGCTGGGATTCCAAGGGTGTTTAGGTTCTTGATTTCTATAGTTTTGAAGTCATTTGCTTACGCTGTAGTGAATTGTCTAGTTATTTGGGATGCTGAGTGTCTTCGTATTTGCATTAACATTGGTTATTTATTGATTCTTTGAACTGGTAGTTTGCGTTGATTGTTTTCATGTATTTAAGGAGGGTTTGGCTGGGGCTTTAGGGATTTTGGTATTACAGAAATATTATTACTCCCATCTGTAGTTGATGTATAGATTAGCTTTCTGGTATTTTGGAGTTATGCAAACACTCAAGCATGTACATACTGTATTACATCTGTTTTCTGATACCAATTTTTAAATATTTTAATAGCTCTGAATTTGGGATGCATTTTATTAATGGTTATATAATTTTTAATTGGCTTTTTTGTGTTAAAGACACATAAAATAATTAATAATATTCTAAATTTAATGAAATACAGAAATCATTGTTCTATCTCCAATGCTTGGTAGTTTCCTTGAATGATGACTGGAAGACTTAAAAATTACTGAAAACAGTAAAGTTTTTATCCACTTTTTTTTTTTAAATGAAAGGAGGAAAACATTAACAGACAACATTTTACAACATAGCAAAAGAACAGTACAGACAATACGGAGTTACAAACAAAGTGGTAGGGAATTAACAATGGTTGTTATATTACATATTGATATCTTCAAAGTGGTTTCTCATGAAAACAGATATAGAAATGCAATACTGATCAACCAAAGACTCATTGACAGTTTCTTTCAGCAAAGAAATAGGAGACAGAAGAACAACCATGTTAACTATCCTGTGTATACATACATACAAAATTTCTCCTTCTTTCCCTTCTCTTTTCCCACATTCCAGTTGCCCTTTACTCTTGAGCGGTTTCCTATCATTTCACAATGTCTATCATACCTCCGAGTTTAAATTAACTCTTTCAAGTTTTACACTAGTGCAACAATGTGGTGCTTGCACATGTATGTTTGATTTATTTCACTTATGAGTATGGTCTCTAGTTGTGACCATTTGCCTATAAAAGCCTTGAGTTTATCTTTCTTTACAGCTGAGTAATATTCCATTATATAAAAGTACCACATTTTTCTTAATCCAATCTTCGGTGGATGGACATTTGGGTTGCTTCCACATTTTAGCAATTACAGATTGTGCTGCTATGAACATAGGTGCACATATATCACTTTATCCACTTTTGGATCTCCTTAGAGTTAAGTATTTAAAGGTATGCTTAAAAAAATCCATGAGCTGCACATTTGGTTAACATTTATTCCTCAAACATCTGGTTTATTATTTTTGTATAAATGGGAGATCCTGCTTAATTTCATTCTCTGAGTTAGGTAGAAGCAATTTGAGGACTTAATATATTTGATTTTGTATTTATATTTTCTGTACTTAATATTTGAAAATTGTTTGAGTAAAGTACACAGGACCTGGCTTTATTACATATGAGCCCTGATGTTCAGGTCCATAGCAATTTCAGGTGCTTCCTGATTCTAAGGCGTCTAGGTTCCCAGATGACCCTGGTAGTCTTTAGAGGTTTCATACTAGTCTAGATCGCTGAAGTTATTTCTTGTGGTATCAGGGGACACATCTGCTTTCCTTGTGACCAGGATTCTGGGCTCAAGATCAGGCTGGCTTTAGAGACTAGAATAAGGAGTCATATGATTTTCATATTTTATCTGCAATAAATAGCAAGCTTTTTTAAAAAAAATTTGATTTTTAAAAATAAAATTTAGTGTGAATAGATGAGATTTATAGAATGATTTTATGGATACATGTAGATAGTAAGATGTTTACTATAGTAAAGCAGATTAATATTATCATCTCACACTTTTATTTTGTGACATTAAATCTAACAAAAATCCTTCAGACTACAACTTAGCTATCATGATGAAATAGAAATTTCATTAGAAATTTACATTTTTTCATCCTACATATTTGCTATTTTGTATCCTTTGACTATTTCACCATTTTCTCTTATTCCCTGTCTCACCACTTGTCTCTGTGAATGAAACATTATCTTTTTTTTTCCTTAAATATTCTGTAGTATTTTTCATTCTGTGTCTGGTTTATTTCACTTAACATAATGTCCTGTAAGTCCATCCATGTTGTGGCAAGTAGATCTTGTTTTTAACACCCAATAATACATATATGTGCATGTGTGGGTCCATTATGTGTGTATGTACCATGTTTTCTTAATCCATTAGTTTATTGGTCAGCCTTTAGGTTGTTTCCATTTCTGGACTATTGTGGATACTGCTACAGTGAACAGTCCTTACAAGGCTGTGATTTTCTACAAGCAGGATTGTTGGAGTACATGGTAGTTCTAGTTGTACTTTTCTTTAGGAACCTCTATGCTATTTTCCATATGACTTTATCTACCTAATTCAGCAACAGTGTACCAGGATTCCCTTTTCATTCTTGCCAATATGTGTTACCTCTTGTCTTTGATAATGGCCATCTTTACAGGTATTAGGTGGTATCTCATAGTGGTTTTAATTTGCATTCCCTTGATGATTAGTGATGTCAAGTGCCTTTCATAGGTCTTTTGGCCATTTTTATGTCTTCTTTAGAGAATTGTCTGTGCAGTGCTTTGTCTGTTTCTAAATTGGGCTGTTTTTCTGCTCTTGATTTGTAAGAGTTCTTTATAAAGTTTTGTATATTAATTCCTTATTAGATATGTGGCTTTCAAATATTTTTTCTGATCTGTAGGTTGCCTTTTCATTTTTTGATTGCTTTTCTATTTTGTTGATTGCTTCTTTGCAAGCTTATTTTAATGCAGTTTTATTTTCGTTCTACACACATTTCAGAATTAAGATAGCTAAGAAACAATACTGTGCACTATGAATTTTTATATTGCTACTCTGTTAACTCTTAATAGTTTTATTAGTCTTATAAATATAGTAAAAGACAGTACTACGTCTTTATTTGGAGTTACTGGGTTTCAGAAGTGTGACCGCTGTACTATTTTAACGATTTTGAACTGTATAGTTCAGGATCGTATTGGTGTTAAACACATCTTCAAAACATCTACAACTTGCAAAGCTCTGTATCCATTGTACAGTATACCTTCCCCCAGCCACCATTTTAATTTCTGTTTCTATGGATTTGGCTACTTAAAAATTTTTTTCCTGACAATAACCGTGTTAGTGTGAGAATGACTCTTTTTAAAGTGTGTGTAAAAGGTAATAATGGCAAACATTTATTGGACACTTTGTATATGTGCTAATACAAGTACCTCACTTAGTCACCAGAATTCTATGAAATGTGTATTCACCAAAGAGGTGGTCAACCATTTTATATATATTTTTTTTCTTTTCTTTTTTTGGGACAGTTCCGCTGTGTAGTTTAGGCTGGCCTTGAGCTCAC